TCCTTAATTATTACAATATTTATTTTAAAATCGCAGGGTTATTTCAAGTAAATACACTCACAAAAAAGTTTGGGAATCCCTGCTTTACATGTAAGAAATAATGAGAATTTGTGCATTTTAATGTGTTTGAAAAGACAAAAGCCAGTTACACTTTATTTTAAGGTGTTCTTGTTACAGTGTAATTATACATATAAGTACTGAGCAATATTAATGAACTACATGCACTCACTATATGGCTAGGGTTAGGATTAGGGTTTGGTTTAGGGTTACTTGCATGTAATTATGCATAATTGTAATTATAATAGTATAAGTAAATGTAACATGTGTAACAAGGACACCTTAAAATAAAGTGTTACCCAAAAGCCTTCCAAAGACATTGTAATAGATGATAAAATAATCTACTGAGTGATCATTCAAACTAATATTAATGTGTTCATCAGTAGTTGAAACACCTGAAATGATTTTTAGTAAAGCAAATGCTGTGTGGCCACCTGACTAATAATGACTGATCTCTGTGTGCATGTCCACAAAACTGAAGACTTTGAGTGTACAAGTGGCAAAAAGGAACATTAAAAGATGAAAAAGAGAAATGATGAATCATTTATTGTTATTGTGTGAATAATATGTAATCATGTAATCAATAAAAAAAGGTAACTGTAGTCTGATTCAGAGGATTTTAAACTGTAATATAATCTAATTACATGTACCAAATTAGCTCAAAAGGGAAATGTATATAAATAATTACAATTAATTATAAGTAATTACAATTACTTACCTCAGCTGCCAGTAGTAACTGTAGCAGAATTAATATTACAATCAACTAATCTGTTCTAATCTGTGGCCACAGAAAATAACTTTCTTACTAATATAACTAATAATACATTTCTAAATTTCCGGTCTGGATCCGGACCCGGACGGAATTCAGTCCTTTGATAAACGCATGTTAAACTTGTAAATCATTTGTTTAGTTTTTTTAATGTCTTTTTGGAGATGGTCCGAAATGAAAGCGAAGGCGAGATATTGAAACTTTTCCTTCGTGACATTTGTTGTCATGACATCCAGTGAGCGTATGACGTGTGACATAATCGGACGACATTTCACGGAGATGGTCATGAAAGCGAAGGCGAGATATTGAAACTTTTCCTTCGTGACATTTGTTGTCATGACATCCAGTGAGCGTATGACGTGTGACATAATCGGACGACATTTCACCGCTAATATGAGTAATTTTTTATTTATTTATTTTTATTATGGCCATTTGACTTCTAGCAGTGTCCAGTGCGGCCCGTCACAATATCAGAACTGACCGCCACAAATAGATTTTCCAAAAGGATTCTACTCCGTTGAATAAACTGAGCACCGCACGTTTCAAAATTAAAATGCAGGTGTTTTTATATGAATGTAGCACTGAAAATTTACCGACCGTTTTCAGAAAAGCTTTGATGTCATTTTCATTTCGTCTTTCCTAGCGTTTGTGAGCGCAGTGCTTATTTGATTACAGCCGTTACCGGGGAAACCGCTATATCTCCCGCTCCCAAAGCGCCTCCTGCTGGCAGAGAATCAATTTGCATTTGCAAGTCTGTGAGAAACACTGGTGTCTGTCAGCAAACATAAACAAAACGCATGCTTCAGAACTGTTTTGAGAAGGTGCTTTGAGCCATGTATTATTACTCTGAATTAGGCTACTACTACTACTACTACTACTACTATTACCATCTTGTGCCCTGCAATAATAATTTACTCAAACTCGCTTTGATGAGATAACGGGGGGAAAAAAAAATCAGCCAAACATATCGGCCAAAAAAGTTAGCATCATATATCGGCCATCGGCTGCCCCGATTTGTAAAAATGGGCATCGGCCAGAGAAGAACCCTTATCGGTCGACCTCTATTGCTGACACTTAAGTTAATTGTTTTGCCATTTTTGCACTTGCTATTAATGTATTTTGAATGCAAAGGGCACTTTATTTTTTTCAAAAAATTAATGTTTATTTGTTATGCATGTTATGTAGCCTATGTTTATTAAAAACAAGTTTTGTAATAACCAGTTGTTCCGGTCCGGACCTTTGGCACTGATGAAAATTAGATTTGGACCTTTGAATGTAGACTTTGAGAACCCCGGTGCATTAGAGCAGTGGTTCCCAACCCTGGTCCTGGAGGCACCCCAACACTGCACACTCATGTCATTTGTGCACAAAAGTTTTATTAACTAAACACTAACACATAACTGACCTAGACAAACAAACAAACATACAAATCACTCATTCATGGGGAGGTTGGAAGTGGATGACTGAAACCGTTAGAGAAACCAGAGAATGCAGTTCTGGAAAAGGACTCAGTTACCCATCTGAGTGAAACCATCAGCGCTGTTTTAGAACGGGGTCTACAGCTTACACTAAACCTCTGCTTCGTTTAGTTAAATGTACGATACTTGCATTGCCTTGGCCTGGAACGAGCGTCCGCATGCAGTCTCGGATGAAAGTCTTGATGGTTTGGAGGTTCGGTGGAGTAGGAGTCGCGATGTCCTCCAAGCAGTGGCGGAGCCAGGATGTGTTCACAGCGGTGGCCAGGCAGGGGCCAGCAACCAGTCTGAAATCAGTCAGAAATCTTCATTATTTCAATATAAAAATGTGATTGACTATAAAGTATTGGACTGTTTTAGTGCCTAAAACACAACTGAGTACAATTAATTTCTACTTAACTGTAATTGAGCGTGATAAAAAATGTGAAAAAGGCCAAAATATAAAATGAGTTATTTTGTGCATTTAAATGGTTTCATTTTCGCATATTTTCTAGTATAAGTGCATTGTGCTCACATTTATTTGTGCATTAAATTACAAATAAAAAATACACATCAGCGTGTGCTTTATATTGTGATCTTGAATTGCAGAATAAGTTATATTTTAGTATGCATTTGAGAGACGTTCTTGTGTGCTGCATACATGCACAGTTTGCAGCTTTAATCGCCTTTTTGGTTATTTCATGACTTAGCTGACGACAGAACTAGGTATGTATGCTCAGTTTCTTGTGCGGGTTATTTATGATGAAGTGATATAGAGCGTGCGCCACATATTTGCTTACCGTTGAAGAGTGTGCGCCGTGAGCACAGTAAAACGGCTGATGCGACAGGAAAACGTGTTTTACTGACATATAGTCTAACACCATCTCAAAAACTGCAGTTTTGAGTGGTGGCCACGGCCACCCCCTGGCGCCAAGATTCTTATAATACTAATCTGTTGCATAGGTATCAACATATAATATACACTTTCATTTAGATCATGAAAATACGAACTCATAGAGACCAAACATGGTATAGGTGAGGTTATTTTAACTAGTGATGTATCATAACGCATGCATAAAACAGTATACAACATAAAATACAATATACAACAGTAATAATATACAAAAAGCACATGAGGATATGAGCGCGCATTCAAAGAAAGATTTGTCTATGAATGCATTAGAGAACAGTCCATTTCTCTGGGCATTAGGTGTCTTTCCTATGAGGAAAATGAGTGGGAGTTGCTCTGCCCGCATTCCTTTGTGCAATAAAACCAGTGTTATCAGATGATTGGTCTTTGGTTGCCATGGAACCAGAGGCCTGTTCTGCCTTTTTGAGGTGTTAGTTGCATTTCTGGGGAAGGGTCCATTGACCCTCATAGTGGGCTTGTTGGTTGGGTGAGGGGTGTTAGGGATTATTTGTTGAATATGACAAATAATTGTCTAATTGGTCCACAGGCTACATACAAGTACTCAATATTTGGAATCGGATTACGTAATCCAGATTAGATGTAATAAACTCTGCAGAAGCATTAGCACCATCTCTGTCAGCATAAACATTGTTTTTTTTTAATGTTTTTTTAAGATAATTTAAATATTGAACAAAATAAGTACGCTTTTAATTCTTTAGTTTGCGTTTGTGTTATTCACAATCAACTTTTAATTGTAACATGTCCACGATAAAAAAAAAAAGGAAAAATCATTAAAAAAAAAAAATCTTCAGAGCACTAATGACTTAAATTTAATGAAGACACTTAAGGTGGAACCCAGAACAGAGTAATATTTTTCTTCCTTAATACATATTGTACACTTTTCTTTTCTGAAAAGTAACTAGTTTTTTCAGACTTGGTTTCAAATTTTTTTTTTTTTTGTTGACGTTTTAGGTTTAAGCCACACAATAATTACAATGAGATAAATACGTCCCACTTTGTGCCGATTTAACAAACAGCTGAAAGAATAAAACTTGACCACAAATTAGTAAATCATAAAAAAGAAATTTAAATTTCCCCCGCAATACCCATTTGATCTTCCACTTCATGTGTGGACTGCGGTTTCACTAAAATTATACTAAATAACTGAAGACGCCTCACTGCTCTGGTTACGACAGTGATAGAGGAATCATATGACAGAAACTGACCGCTTCGATTCACTCCATTTAACTTCGGCAGATCAGCAAGAGGTTCTACTCAATTTTGTAAAACAAACATCTAAAAATGGTCCGAGTTCGACAAGTTTCTGTAGATCTGCAAAAACACAACTACAAAAAATCACGACAAACCAAAGAGTTTAAAAACCATGTTTAATCAAAATGGTTCTTTACATTATGAAAAATCTGAACTGGAAAAAAACAAACAAAAAAAACCCTCAGTCACAAGCCAAATTTAGTTCATACATAAATTTGACATGAGCCTTACAACACGCTTGTTATCCATCTTAATCCCATTCAAATAGATGTACATCTCTAAATACTAAATAGGCGTCAATTCCATGTATATGTTACAATATGCTTTGCACATTAAAAAGGTACTGCACATTAAACTTGCATCTAAAGCTAACTTAAGAATAGTGAAAATTAAATAAAATTGAGAGGGGAAATGTGGGGCGGGGGAGAGAAACAGCATAAAAAAAACTAAACAAAAACAACAACAACCTGTTGCATGTACAACATGTACCTAAACCAGCAGAGCATAATTACAACATTCACATTTAATTTTCACGTGGATGGTTGGGACACTTCAGAACTCACACAGTTAAAAGGGAGCGAGGGGTCAGGGGTCACTGTACAGTTACTGATGCTTCCTGGAATGTCCTAGAAACGCTCTGACAAAGTGGATTTAAGCAAATGGAAACAGTTCAATTACAGACTTAATCATCAAACTTGATCTTCTTCCCTTGTGGTTTGTCCCCAAATCCACCTCGTCCACCTGAAAAACAAGACCGCTGTTAATTTATACAGTTCAATTAAAACCTAAAAGGTCTTAATGTTCAAATTGGCTCACTGCCAAATCAGTAATGACAAGCATTTTCTCATTCACTAACTCGGTGTAAAGCCTCAACAAAACGTAGAAAAAAAAAAAAGAAAAGACAAAAAGGAATAAATAAAATACAGAGATCATTAACCTATTAGATTTAGCTAGACAAAAAAATAGATTGTTAGATAAATGTAAACATTATTTATATAAAAACTAAATTAGATTTAATTAGACAATTTTAAGTAGATTACATTCAAGCAGACATAATAAAAATATGAGATATTAACTAAACTTGCATCGTTTTAATTACACAAATAACTAAAATTAGAATTAGATGACAAAAAAGCAGATTTTAAAAAATGTTACAATTTATAGAAATAAAATAAGATTCAAAAAGAATTACAATAAAATTGAGATTTAATTGAAAACTACATTTAACTAGACAAACTACTACACCGATTTAATAAGATAAATGTAAATAAACTTGGATTTAATTAGATAAAGAAAAATAGCTTACCATTATTTATAGAAATAATTCAATTCAAGTACTTACAATAATAAATGACTATATTACTACCATCACTACCATTATTATTAATATTAATAATAAATAAACAAAAATAAAGTACAGTACAGAATGGTAGTCTATAAATGTATCTGTAGATTGATCGACACCCACCGCCTCTTCCTCCTCTGAAGCCGCCACCTCCTCCTCTTCCTCCTCGTCCTCCCCTGAAGCCGCCGCCTCTGCCGCCCCCTCGGCCACCGAAACCACCTCGTCCACCGCCTCGCCCTCCGAACCCTCCTCCGAACCCTCCCCCGAAGCCTCCTCCGAAGCCTCCCCCGAAGCCTCCTCTGCCGCCCCCTCGGCCGCCCTCGCCCTTGGGCTTAGCGTAGTCCAGAGTGACTCTGTTTCCGTCGATCTCGCCGTCATCCATGGCTTCTTTGGCCGCCTTGCAGTCGTCTTCGCTATCGAAGTCCACGAAACCAAACCTGGAGTGGGAAACAGTATTCAGTAAATATTCAGAGGACAAGCAGCAGCGGTTAACACATCAAACAGCTTAATGTCTCACATCAGACATGGGTATATCCCAATATAGTGGAACCACCTGTTTAGCTGTGATTTCGCTCTACTTCTCGTGCGAATCCATACACTGCCACTGGATTGACAGAGAGGAGCTCATGAGAAGCAAAAAGCGTGCGCAAGTATCAAACATGGCCGTACCCTTTCGATGATCCGGTTTCTCTGTCTGTGACGATTCTGGCGTTGACGGATCCTTCAAAAGCTTCTTTCAGAGACTGATCTGTGGTGTCCTCCGACAGACCTTTGACAAACAGGGTTTTTGTTGGCCCTACAAACAGAGGGAAGAGCAGTTAGCAATTAGCATTCGTGAAAAAAAGCTGGTAAAACTTGAGTGAATGAGAAGCAATCTACAAACCAGAGCCTCCTCTTCCGCCTCCACTGCCTCGCTCGTTCTGACTGAACTCTAATCTGACACTTCTGCCCTCGATTTCTGTGTTGTTGTAGTTCTCCAGCGCCTCCTTGGAATCCTCCACGCTCTCGAACTCCAAAAACGCAAATCTGGAAAAAACAAAACAGAAAAACAATGACATTAGACCAAAGCAAAGTCAGCACAGCAAAAACACCAAGACACTTGAATGTGGATATATTCAGGGATGATAGTTCGGTACGGGGGCATAATTTTAATAGCGCAACTAATTTAAACGTTATGGCCCGTTCACGCAACGAAAATTGGTGTGAATTTTTAATTTGAGCGAACGGCTGTTAAACGCCAAAACAAACATTCGCATGTCGCCAACAGTTTTTGCATTTTAATGGAAATTACAATAAATAAATCCATAAAAATCCAAAGAAAACTGACAAACCAATAAGATTCAAGCTTTTTGGTTGCCACCATTGCATAAAACCGCAACTTGGTGGCACTCAAGAACAAATTATTTTGCTAAACAACAGCAAATAGCAGAACATTATTCCAGGTGTCAAAAAAGGAAACTTTTTTTGCTTTTCCAAGCACCACCTACTGGCAGGGAGTGATTTTGCATTTTCATTCAGCCTGTCAAACGTTTATCCTTTTTAGATATTGTCTTAATAGACAAATCGTGTGCTAAAGAAAGAAACAGCTTTGGATACAAGCAGTTTGTAAAGTTCAAATGATTCCATAACTTCATGGAATCTGACAATCTGAATCAATTCTAAACTGATTCAACCATTTGAGTCAACAAATACTCCTCCTGGTGTTCATTTAGTGAACAAATTGAGGAAAGGAGGGGGAAAAAAACCTGATCTTCAGTTCTTACAACAAACATTTTAATCTCGATTCGACCGCAATGACCATTTAGGCCAAATACTTTGACAAGCCTTATTTAACGGACAAATCATCCTACGGACCTAATCAACTCCTCATCAAAACGTGTCTACACATCTCTGATTGCATTAATGAATCACCGGACGTACCCCTTCGGTCTGCCGTTGTTCTGTGGTATTCTGATGGACACGGCCTTCTCAAACACACTCTGGAGGGCCTCTTCATTCGCACTGAACGATAGGTTGTTTACAACCAGGACTTTGCTTGCAGAACCAGCGGCTAAATGAGTAGAAAACAAGACATTCCGTTAACATTCTTCATAAAACTCCGTCAAACCAGACAAAACTGCACCTAGTTGTCATCATTACTCACCTCTGCCGCCCTGCCGACTCTTTTCTCCGGTGAAGTCTATGATGATGGATCGGCCCTGAACATCTGACCCTTGCGCCTCTTCCATCGTCTTCTCAGCGATCGCCTCCGACTTGAACTCCAGGTATGCGATGCTGTACCCAAAGAGAACGTCAGTCAAGCATTCGTTTAAAAGACGCATTGTTAATAATGCAAACAGCCATGGCTTAGTCTTACCCTCTGCTAGAACCGTTGCTGCCCATCGGTATCCTAATATCAGTAGCCTGGTCAAAGACTTCCTGCAGTTCCTCCTGCGTTATGGAGTACGGCAGGTTCTTTACGAACAAAGTGCGTGAATCTCTCTCTGAGGGAAGACAAGCAATAAAACGTTGGCGTCTGCGAGCTCGATGTTTGACGTACCACATAAGCGGCGGCTCCAGATCAGCACTTGACTATCTTAAACCCACACGGGAGTTCGGGAAAGTGAAAAGCTATCATCATTTCTGGTTGGATTCACATTCAAAGCGGCAGCTGAGGGACGTTACCTTTTTTGTTTTCCAGGGAGTTTTCTTTGCTTCGGGCTTTGTCGAGTTTCACCGGTAGGCCCATCAGCTTCTTGCCATTGAGCCCCAAAGCCTTCTGCAGCTCTTCCTCTGACGCAAAGTCAACATAGCCAAATTTCCTTCAGAAGACATTAGGAAGCTTGAATTAGGAGTCAAATCAACAGTCACAACTCCTTTACAATGACAAAACGGACTTGGAGGATATGCAACAACAACTTTCTCCTTACTTGCTACCGCCAAGTCGGACGTCCTGAATTTCAAGGCCTTCCTTTGAGAAGAAATTTGTGATTGCAGACTTACTTTCATCAAAGTCTTTATTGGAGTTTAAGTTGCCCAAGAAGAGACTGAAACCTGAAAATTTACAGCAAAGTTAGTTTGCCAAACCAAGACAAAGAAAACCTTTTTTCCCCTTAAACCAGCATCAGAATTAATATGAAAGCTCACATCACACGTTTCAGTATTAAGTCCCTTTAAATCATCATATGTGGTTTAAAGGAACTCCACTATTTTTGAAAATAGGCTCATTTTCCATCTCCCCTAGAGTTAAACAGTTGAGTTTTACCGTTTTTTAATCCATTCAGCCGATCTCCGGGTCTGGCGGTAGCACTTTTAGCTGTAGCTTAGCATAGATCATTGAATCTGATTAGACCGTTAGCATCTCGCTCAAATGACCAAAGAGTTCCTATATTTTTCTTATTTAAAACTTGACTCTACTTTGCTGCCGTACCATGGGTGCAGCAGGCGCAATGATATTACGCAGCGCCTGAAAATAGTCCTCAACACGCTCCCTGTGCAAGCAGGTGGTCACGTTGGTTATGTCGACGGAAGTTAGCCTATTTTCAGGCGCTGCGTAATATCATTGCGCTACATGATGTAACTACAGAAGAGTCAAGTTTTAAATAGGAAAAATATAGAAACTCTTTGGTCATTTTTGAGCGAGATGCTAACGGTCTAATCAGATTCAATGATCTATGCTAAGCTACAGCTAAAAGTGCTACCGCCAGACCCGGAGATCGGCTGAACGGATTCGAAAACGGTAAAACTCAACTGTTTAACTCTAGGGGAGATGGAAAATGAGCCTATTTTCAAAAATAGTGGAGTGTTCCTATAATGCACAAACACTGAAGCGTACAGAACTGAAGTCTCACCTTCGCCATCAGTTTTAGCTTTCTTAGCCGGCGGCGTTCCCTTCTCTTTTTTGGTCTCGGCCTTCCTTTTCGCTGGAGTGACGGGGGTTTCTGAAGAACAAAACCCAGAACAACTGAATTAAAGAACTGGACGTGACCAGTGTAGTCAAGCTTCAAAAACACAAAACGCCATGAAACCATCGTAAATCAGGAGCACGACACACTGTGCTGAGAAGACACGCACATCTTCATGTATTAAATGTAGGATGAAAGCAGAGTATTACTATACATGAGCATAAGCAGGACTTGGCTTACAGAACGGGTAGAAACGAAAATATGCAATACAGAGGAACTGACACATTGGGACTTAAAAAGGATGCATTTCCAACAAATCAGGAGAACTGTATAAATAATTGTGTATATGTAAACCTATAACGGAGTTTAAAACCCAGTGTACACCTATTGTTCTATTGCTGTAATTGTTTTACGCTGTAAGGAATAGAGAAAAAACATTCTCTTAAATCTGATAACGCCTTCAAAATCTGTGCTAACTGTCATGATATTTTAACAAACCCTGCACCTGATCAGCATAATAATAATAAAACAAACTCAAGATAGTCTAATAACTTCACTGTCATACCTTCTTCCTCTTCATCCTCATCGTCGTCATCATCCTCATCGTCATCTTCAGATTCCTCCTTCGCTTTCACCATTCCTGCCTTTTTGGGCGCAGGAGTTGTGTCCATTTCCTCTTCTTCTGAATCACAATCAGAGTTTAGACAAACATACAGGACGAAACTTAAACTATCAAAAATGCAAACATAAGCCCATAGAGTCATCAAACACTGTCAGTATTAAATCCCTTAGTGCACCACATGTATACAAATAAATATAATTCCGTCCTGTCACACACCATCATCATCATCATCATCATCATCATCAGATTCCTCCTTCGCTGCAGGTGCTTTTGCAGCAGGTGCTTTGGCTGCAGGTTTAGCGGCCTTCTTAGGAGGCAGGGCTTCTTCCTCTTCAGATTCATCTACAGGCAAATCGAGACCGTGATTAATACAGAAATGAGGCGCACTCAGTGAAAATGACTTCAATACGAGTGCATCAGAATGTTTCGCACCGTCATCCTCGTCGGACTCCTCAGCGGGAGCTGCTTTCTTCACAGGAGCAGCTTTCTTTGCCGCTGCGGCTTTAGCAGGCGTGGCCTTCTTGGGTGGAGGTGGCGGCTCTTCCTCGGATTCGTCATCTATGAAGACAGGAAATTGAGTTGTTAATGTTATACAGTCTCAAAATCACTTATACACACACACAATCCTGAGACGTTTTCATACCGTCCTCCTCCTCGTCATCATCATCGGAGGACTCTGCAGGCGCTGCCTTCTTAGCAGGAGTTGCTTTGGCAGGTGCGGCCTTCTTTGGAGGAGCTTCCTCTTCTATTGAGAAGAACGGAGAAATTATTCGATTTTGACCTTTGGATTAAGTACACAGCCCTGAGACCATCATGAAAACATTAGCTTACCAGATTCTTCATCATCGTCATCGTCACTCTCACTCTCCTGTTTGGCAGCAGCTTTTCCATTCTTCACTGCCTTCACTGGAGCTGCTTTTTTCTTCGCTACAGCTTTAACTGGCAGCACCTGCCCAATAGAAATCATTTAATCCTAGCCATTTCTTCATTCGCAACAAAGTGATTAAAACGCATGATTTCTAGATGGATTCCTCACCTCTTCCTCCTCGCTGTCCTCCTCGCTGGACTCCTCTTCCACTTCCTTGGGAGGTGGAGGTGCCTTTTTCTTAGGAGGCGCTTGCTTTTTAGCTGCCTGCAAACGTTGAGAAAAGATTCACTAAATCAGTTTCTGTCGCCACAAATCAAAGTCAAGTTTTTTTTTTTCTAAGTTCTTGCAATTATGCAGATGTTTATCATATTTCCCGAAACACATGTAACATTTTTTTAACATCCGAAATATGCCACGACTTATATTCCAGAACAACTTTCAGTTTCGCTTTAGTTTTGACTTTTATAATGGCACTATCATTTATATTTTTCCATTCCTGTTCGAAACACCACTAAAGATTTAGAGTGAAGGGAACTAAAAATACAAGTTAATAGTTTTTTTAGTAACATTTATAATGTTTGTAAATGGATCGTTGAATTACTTTATTTCCAAGTGTGATAAAATGCGGGGAATAAAAGCCACTTGTGTTGTTCTTCTCAAAATAGCGGCAGTTTGACTCAGTGCAACTTATTGTAAAGAAAATATAATAAGTATCTACAACATTTAGGGCTGTTCGGCATAGCAACTGTTTGGAGGTGCGGTTAATTTTTTTATATATATAAAAAAAATTTAAAAAAAAAAAAGCACATACAAATAACTTTTCAAATTGTATTATTCATGCATTTGACAAATAAATAGAATTTAAGTAGTAAACGAATACATTTATCTCCAGGGCTAGTTTGAGACATAGCAAATGTTTGGAGGTGTGGCCTAATCAAACACCATTTGATGGTTTTTATTTGAAATACGTCAGAGCAAGAACAAATCTCTCAAATATTTTTGTGGATAATTCAGAAAGCGCGATGCGTATTAGCGTAAGACTTTTGCGCGGTGCAATTTGTTAATTGCAAATTTTGGATTGTTATTAAATATCTTGTATAACTAGTATTAAATAGCTTGTCACTTAAATACAACCACTGTTGAAAGGTAAAATAATAATACGTTTGAGTACTGAAATGGGTTTAAAAGTTTATTAAAATGATTTAAACATCACCGCACTGCGCGTGAAACTCCCCGCGTGGACGAACCCACGTGCGGTTCTCGTTACACGTGGAAAACACACATGCACGCTATCCAACAGACTAGTTTATAAACACACGTGCCAGGCTCACATATTATAATCGCGCAAATCACACAATATGCGTTAACACCGCGACGCGGTTTAATGTAGCGCGTTTAACGTCCGCTCATCCGCTACAAAGAGCCAAAATGGAGGCGTTTAGCATCGCGCTACATCGCTGCACGGCTCACGTGGCGAATGCGCGATTTAGCGCGAAAACACGACACTCTAATCACTCGAAAAACCTCGCTTAGCAACGACGGCTGGTTTTACAGCACTACAAAACGTGTCACATACACGCTCATAAAAATATACTTCATGCGTGTCAGCTGAGGCCTAAAAAAGGAGCAGCGTGGCCCGCCCGTGTGAACCGAATAACCGACAAAAACGGCTATTACATTTGAATTAGTTTATTTTAGAAGCACCTATTTAGCATTAAAAATAATTTGCACTCGTTGAGTTTACCTTTGCAAAACTATAAAACACACATGATCGAGATACATGTGTCGCAAACGTGGGCCTTCTTCACATCAGAGGCGGTGCAACGAATGGAGGTGCGGTTAATTTTTTAATATATATAAAAAAAAAAAATTAAAAAAAAAAGCACATACAAATAACTTTTCAAATTGTATTATTCATGCATTTAACAAATAAATAGAATTTAAGTAATAAACGAATACATTTATCTCCAGGGCTAGTTTGAGACATAGCAAATGTTTGGAGGTGTGGCCTAATCAAACACCATTTGATGGTTTTTATTTGAAATACGTCAGAGCAAGAACAAATCTCTCAAATATTTTTGTGGATAATTCAGAAAGCGCGATGCGTATTAGCGTAAGACTTTTGCGCGGTGCAATTTGTTAATTGCAAATTTTGGATTGTTATTAAATATCTTGTATAACTAGTATTAAATAGCTTGTCACTTAAATACAACCACTGTTGAAAGGTAAAATAATAATACGTTTGAGTACTGAAATGGGTTTAAAAGTTTATTAAAATGATTTAAACATCACCGCACTGCGCGTGAAACTCCCCGCGTGGACGAACCCACGTGCGGTTCTCGTTACACGTGGAAAACACACATGCACGCTATCCAACAGACTAGTTTATAAACACACGTGCCAGGCTCACATATTATAATCGCGCAAATCACACAATATGCGTTAACAGGTGAAATAATAATAATACGTTTGAGTATTGAAATGGGTTTAAAAGTTTATTAAAATGATTTAAACATCACCGCACTGCGCGTGAAACTCCCCGCGTGGACGAACCCACGTGCGGTTCTCGTTACACGTGGAAAACACACATGCACGCTATCCAACAGACTAGTTTATAAACACACGTGCCAGGCTCACATATTATAATCGCGCAAATCACACAATATGCGTTAACACCGCGACGCGGTTTAATGTAGCGCGTTTAACGTCCGCTCATCCGCTACAAAGAGCCAAAATGGAGGCGTTTAGCATCGCGCTACATCGCTGCACGGCTCACGTGGCGAATGCGCGATTTAGCGCGAAAACACGACACTCTAATCACTCGAAAAACCTCGCTTAGCAACGACGGCTGGTTTTACAGCACTACAAAACGTGTCACATACACGCTCATAAAAATATACTTCATGCGTGTCAGCTGAGGCCTAAAAAAGGAGCAGCGTGGCCCGCCCGTGTGAACCGAATAACCGACAAAAACGGCTATTACATTTGAATTAGTTTATTTTAGAAGCACCTATTTAGCATTAAAAATAATTTGCACTCGTTGAGTTTACCTTTGCAAAACTATAAAACACACATGATCGAGATACATGTGTCGCAAACGTGGGCCTTCTTCACATCAGAGGCGGTGCAACGAAAAATTTAACATCTCGCGTTTCGACCGTTTAAATTTAAATCGATAACGTTACTTTGAATTGTCAGAAAGTGTTAGCATGTACCTTACCTTGGCAAGCTTCACCATGACTGAAGGTTGGTGTTTTTTTGTTTGTTTTTCTTAACAGTAAAGCTGATAACGGGAGAGTGGCGCAGGAACAAACCGTTCAGTCACACGTGGCTCTCTGTACAGGACGGAAAAGAGCGCTCGCATACGCTTTTAGTACGTCCGGCGAAACCCCGCCCACTGAGCCCGCCCTCCAATGACGTTCAGAGACGGGAGTCGTTTCCGCGAATCGGTTCTTTTGAGCAGTTCGTTTCGATTCAGTGATTCTTTAATATCTTGATGTAATTACACCATCACGTGGCCCAATCAGCCATACAAGTGGAGGTGGGAGAAATGCCTATAAGTTTACGAAAATTGAAATTAACTATGAATTATTGGATAAATGTAAAAGGGCATTCAGAATTACATCCAGTAAAGGACATATTGAAGGATTGCTGGGAATAGCTTGTCAACCGCCATAAAATCGTACAAGAAGAAGAAGAAGATCACGTGGCCCATAGCATTCTGTCGCGGATAAGTTTGACATTTTCGTTGACATTTATCTAATTAAACGAGGAAAAACGGCCCTGTCTACGTTTCGTTTTAAAGTACAAGTAAAGAATACAATCTCTGAAACAATAAGTCAAAAAACCAATGATGTCGTGAAAATAATATAAAATGAATACTGACCCGGACCCATGATATTGTTTTGTTTTGTTTTTTTAAACTTTCGGTCCTGTTGCCAAACCGGTTCATTTTAGTGAATCAAAACCATACATGTAGTACAACAAATGCAGTGTTCGGTTCTCAAACAATCGACTCTTCTGAGCCGGATCTTTTGTAGTGTATCAAAACATTTATGAATCATTTTGAGTGATTACTGCATAAATCAGACTTATTCGTCAAATGAAAATGAACCAAGTTGTGTCATGTTGTATCGAAACACTGTTGTCCCAATTACATTTTCGACCACACTTTGTTTTATTCAAGCATAATATCCTAAATCACAAACAATTTATTTAGGCTATTTCGAATATTCAGTTTACTTTATTTATTTTTTTATTTGTAAAGTGATTTTCACAATATACATTGTTTAAAAATCATGTTAATGTTTGAATATGAATTAGGCTAATTCATATTCAAACATTAACATGATTTTTAACATTAACATGCCCAATTGGAAAATGTTTTAATGAAGTTGATGACTCTTTGTTGTTGTTATTACTACTACTACTACTACTAAGCCACTTACCTTTTTATTATTTCTCATGTTCATATTTATTTTGAATGCACATGTAGCTGACAATGTTTACATTGCAATGCAAGCTGTATAACTGTAAGTATGACAAATAAAAAGCCTGCATCTTGATGAAGTCTTTGAGTCGTTTCTATTCAATGAATCCGTCAAGCTTGTTAGCAAACGGTTCATAGGTTCTCGATTCAATCTGAATCACTCGGACATTTCATTCACTCTGAGGCATCTGGAGCACTCAATACTTACCACAAGTACAAATATAAAGAAACTGAAATATTTATTATTTATTTGTATGTAATAACCATTGAAAACTAACTTGAAAAGCGTCTAAAAGTCTGATGAAGCGATGAAGAATATCCTTAAGATTTACATCTGCATGTGCTATACTCAATACAACATAAAGACATGTTTAAAAAATATATTAAAATACTGTAGGCATATACACTAAAGAACTTAAACTTACTATAATTTACTATGGTAAAAAACAATCCCATGTTTCTGAACATGTATACCTTGTATATTGTATATTTATATATATTATATTATACTCTGCCATTATCATTATGTATATTTATATCTCGCAAATCTTAGTGAGCGTAAGTGACTGAAAGATAAATTGCAAGTATCTTATGAAAATTTTAGAGAGTCTTTATCAAATTACCAAGATGCTGTTAAGGCTGCCAGATCTTCATATTTCTCGCAAATTATTTCGCAGAATGTAAATAACCCGAAGGTATTATTTGCAACTATAGATAAGGCACTAAGTCCGTCGATTAATGCTTTTCCTACTCCATATAAGGATCTTTGTGAGAGTTTTTAAAAGTATTTCATTGGTAAAATTGATGCTATTTGGTCTAAAATTTTGCCTTTAGTAAATCTTACAGCCAATGTAAGGAGTAACTTTGAACATGTTCTTTAGCCCAGTTGAAGGATATAGTACTGCATTTAAAATCAACTATCTCTTGTTATGATGTTCTCCCGGCACGACTGTTTAAAGAAGTCATAGACACTATTGGCCCTAGTGTTTTAAGAATTATTAATAGTAGTTTATTTTTTGGATGCGTGCCACTAGGCTTTAAGCATGCGACTATTGAACCAGTTTTAAAAAAGCCAAATTTGGATCAACAGGATTTGAAAAATTTTAGGCCCATTTCAAAATTATCTTTTGTGAGCAAGATCTTGGAAAAAGTGTTCATAACCAACTTGTTGATTTTCTGACTAAGAATAATATAATGGATGCCTTTCAGTCTGGATTTCGGACCAAGCACAGTACAGAATCAGCGCTGCTCAATGTTTTTAATGATATATTTTTGAGTATTGAAGGGTGTTGCCCTAATGATGTTAGACTTGAGCGCTGCTTTTAACACTATATAGATCATGCTGTTTTAATAGAACGTCTTAGAGATTATGTTGGAATTAATGGTGTTGCACTTAAGTGGTTTTCTTCTTATTTGCAGGATAGGACTTGTTCTGTTAAAATTGGAAGTCATGTCTCTACATCTGCTACTTTCTCCTGTGGGGTCCCACAGGGATCTATTATTGGTCCGACTTTGTTTTCTTTATATATGCTTCCCCTGGGGTCAATTTTTAGAAAATACAATATTAATTATCATCTGTATTCATCTTGATTTGCAAAAATGTATTTTCCTTTAGAGCTTGACGGTTGTTTTTCTTTAACAAACTTTTGCAAGTGCTTGGCAGAGGTTGGTTTGCAAATAATTAGACTTGGTTTGCAAATAATTTTCTTCAATTAAATGAAGATAAGAGTGAGTTTATTATATTTGATAACAAGCAGTTTCAGAAAGGTATGGTCGGAAGCCAGGGACTATTGTCCAATTATCTATGTGGTTATGTGAGGAACTTGGGAGTAATTACTGATTCCGAAATCCATCTTGACCGACAAGTAAACGGTGTTGTGAAAACATCCTTTTTTCAGTAAAGGAAATTGTCCAAACTGAAAACTATTCTTTCGAACAAGGATTTAGAGTCTGTTATACATGCTTTTATTTCAACGCGGTTGGACTATTGTAATGCTTTATACTTTGGAATAAGTGAATCTCTGGTTATGCATCTTCAGTATGTTCAGAATGCTGCAGCAAGACTTTTAACTAACACTAGAAAACGGGATCATATAACACCTGTGTTGGTATCTTTGCACTGACTTCCTGTCAAATATCGAATGTAATACAAGTTGTTGATGTTTGTGTATAAAGCTCTACATGATCAGGCTCCTGAGTACATAAGGGATATGTTGGTCCCTTACCAATCACATCGACTATTGCGGTCCTCTCAGAACTTGCTTTTGACTGTCCAACGGTCTCGTCTGAGGCGGAGTGGAGATCGAGCTTTTTCTGTTGCGGCTCCAGCACTTTGGAATGCTCTGCCATTATCTGTAAAATCTTCATCAAGCATGGACATTTTTAAAAAGGACTTAAAGACTTACTTGTTTTATCAGGCTTTCGGGATTTGATTAGTCAGGACAATTGTGAATGACTTGTCTTTTATTTTGTTTTGTTCCTATGTTTTAATGTTTTACGTTTTTTTATCTTTATTATATACTGCTTGTGTACAGCACTTTGGTCCATTTTTATGTTTTTGAAAGTGCTTTATAAATAGAGGTTGAGTTGAGTTGAGTTGAGAAATCTTACTTTATATATATCGTAATTCTGATATAATATTTCATAATTCTGAGTTTATATCTCGCAAATCTTACTTTATGTATCGTAATTCTGAGATAATATTTCGTAATTTTTAGTTTATATCTCGTAATTATGAGGTAATATTTCGCAATTCTGAGTTTATATCTCGCAATTCTTATTTTATTTATGGTAATTCTGAGATAATATTTCGTATTTCTCAGATAATATTTCACAATTCTGAGTTTATATCTCGTAATTCTGAGTTTATGTCTCGTAATTCTGAGTTTATATCTCGTAATTCTGAGTTTATATCTCATAATTCTGAGTTTGTCTCGTAATTCTGAGTTTATATCTCGTAATTCTGAGTTTATATCTCGTAATTCTGAGTTTGTCTCGTAATTCTGAGTTCATGTCTCGTAATTCTGAGTTTGTCTTGTAATTCTGAGTTCATGTCTCGTAATTCTGAGTTTGTCTCGTAATTCTGAGTTTGTCTCGTAATTCTGAGTTCATGTCTTGTAATTCTGAGTTTATATCTCGTAATTAGGGATGTAACGGTATGAAAATTTCATATCACGATTATAGTGACCAAAGTTATCACGATTATCAATGTTATCACGGTTTTGTTAAAATTAGATGAAAACGTTCAAAAATAACTGATACACACACTGAAAACATTTCAATAAGTTTTATATTTGAAAATCAACAAACAACAAATACAATTAGCAGCTATATGCACTTTTTTAGCATAAA